AGTCACTATCTGCAGCCACTGCAGCATGAAGCTGTCTGCAGCCACTGTAGCATGAGTTCAATTCCCAGCCAGGGAGCTACCCCCATGGCGCAGCAGAAAAAAAAAAATAAATAAATAAAAGAACATTTTTTTTTTTTTATAGAAGCATGCTTTTTTATTTTATTTTATTTTACTTGTTTGTTTGTTTTGTTTATACATGCACTGGGTACAGTCAGAAGCGCGGGAGGGTGAGAGAATTCACCAGAGCCAGAGCGGGGAGCAGAGCAGACAGAAGGACCGAAGTCCACTGCTGAGGGGAGCAGCGGGCGGCAGGAGAGGTCTGCGCGCCATGTGGGACCCTCCTGTGGTGGCCGGGGAGCAGCCGGGGATCGAACCGGCGCCGCAGAGGTCACGGGCAGCTTCGCAACCCAGCGCTCAACCGCTGCGCCACCGGGGAGGCCCCAAAACTTCAACTTTTATATATTTGTTTGTCAAATGAGCTGGTGCAAGTCCCAAACAACATTCTATTTAATGATTCTTAACCACTGTGGAAGATGGAGCAACCACAAAAGGTTGTTATTTGTGGCGCATATTAACAAAATTATTCCTAGGTGAAGCTTACTTGTCTTGGGATTCCCATGTACTCCTATACTTGTTGACCACCTAACTCCCACACCTATCCTCAGCATATTCCCAGCATTCCCCACATACCTGGTGCCTTCTTGAATTCCAGAATCTTTCATACTTTTTGCACTCTTATCAGAACTTACCCATTAATTGCCTCATAGTTGTGGGCTTCTGTATTCTCTGGTACCATTTGTTGCTTGAGCAAGTCACGTAACAGCTGGGACTCAGATTTCCCATAAGTAAAATAAATGAATTGTGAGAGATTAACTTGAAGGCCACATCCAGTTCCAAAATCGCATGAGCAGAGGAGGGAGAGGGGTCAAAATACGGTGGGGTGGGGAGGTGGGGGAGGAGAGCACAAGGGACTGTGGTGATGGCTCACAGTGGTGGGAGAACTACGGGGATGATACCTAAGGGGAGAAATCAAATAATGTCTAAATATTAACATAGACGTGAGAAGAAAAATAAATTTTAAAAATCACAAATACTAGTGGTATCTAGTAATTGTGCTTTACCTCCTAACAGAGAAGTTGGGTGGGATCATAAAGGCCAAAGTGTGGCCATTCTCTGGGTACATCATGATTTGACCCCGTTACAATTTTTTTTTTAAAGATGTATGTATTTATTTATTTATTTATACAAGCACTGGGTACAGCCAGAAGCGCCAGAGAGTGAGAGAATTCACCAGAGCCAGAGCGGGGAACAGAACAGGCAGACTGATGATATACTGCTGAGGGGAGCAGCGGGCAGCAGGAGAAGTCTGCGCGCCATGTGGGACCCTCTCCTGGTGGCCGGGGATCGAACTGGCACTGCAGAGGCTGCGGGCAGCTTCGCAACCCAGCGCTCAACCGCTGCGCCACCGGGGAGGCCCCTGGTTACAATTTTTTTTATAACACTTAAAATGATAGGCATTTCAGGGATTCCTCATGAATTTTGATTTCCTTCAAATCACACTGCGTAAGTGGGCACCTACTTCGTTTATGCCTTTAGTTGGTTTCCAGATAGCAAATACTCAGTCATTTCATAAGCAGAAAGAGATTTATATGTATTCTTTTGGATTTTCTACTCATTTAGTTACGTGGAGACTCTCTTAAGGAATAAACAAAATTTCTGAGCAGTTTCTTTAGCAAATTTTCCTTTTCTGTTGCTATCATCCTAGCCATACTTTCCCAGATAGTTCATTATAATCAACTCTTCCAAGATATTGTCTCACTCTAAAATTAATTGCATCTCAAAAATGCTACTCATAGATCAGATGGCTTCTTTAAGTAAAAAAAAAAAATATTCTCTCGAAACACAGTTCATCTAGTGAAATTATCAACAATCTTTGTAATCAGTTTTTGGGAATTTGAAATTTCTATGACAAGAAACCAACTTGATTTTACCCAGGTTAGCTAAGGAAAAAGACAAACTGTGTTGGATATTTTCTTTTGGCTTCTCTTTCTTTTAAAACAAAGAACAAAATGACAAATCCAAATTTGAGACATCTGGATGTTTCCCATCATGTGGCTTAAACATCTGCATTTTTTCACTTCTCATCCAGATGTTTTGGTCTTATGTAAACCTAGCTAAAGTGAAGGGGAATATCAAGCAATCATCTGGGGACTTTGATTAACATGGACAGCAAATCTGAATAATCCATGTTCTGAGAGTCCTGTTTTTTGTCTAGTTCAGAACACATTACTAATGAGGTCAAAGTTATTGTAGGTTTGTTCCTTGTATGGGCCAGTTAACTCTGATCTGTTCCATGACCACAAAATGCACCTCTAGCCTCAGCCAGCTGTCTGGAAAATGAGTGTCCTTGGTCTTCCAGGCAGTCACGTAAGAAACTGAAGAGCCAGTCTTTAACACTTGGAAAGTGATATAAAAATGCATTTACCATAGAGGTTGGGCAACAGTGCCATTTTGTACAAAAATAATAATTAGAATAGTAACCCTTACAGTAGGGCTTATTTTCTGTCAAGCACTGTTCTAAATATTTTACACACATTAATTCACAGTGTTCACAACAACCCTATATTATTCTTATCCCTATTTTTCAGGTAAGCAAATGGAGGCACAGAGTGTTAAGTAATTTGTTCAAGACAAAAATGGAGAAAATGGCATTCTCATACTTTGTTCTTTTCCCCACATCCCCTCTGTCAGGGTCAAGGGGAATCATAATGTATTGGCTTTCTAGAAAATGTGTCAAAAGAGGACAGGAATGGTTATTTCTGCATACTGAATTAGTTGGTGGAACTGTAACTGTGGTGTGCCCACCCTGAGCCTAGTAAAGTAGGTTAATCTAATCCCTATTCTTCCACCCAATACGATAATTATAGGCATAAAAGTACCCTTTGCAAAAGAAAAAGGCACTGTTTTTGTTGGCAATATGTCAGTAAAGTATATATTTAGGAAAAAGGACTATGTGGTTAGGAGCAATGAACTACTTTGGGTGGCCTCATAGAACTAAATTATCTGAACACTCTGAAGAAGAATGATTTGTTTGACTGGCAAAATGCTAAGAAACTTTGATCTCTAACCACAAATTGACTGAGAATCCTAAAATCCTTTCTTTACCACTGTTCACTCGATTCCAAACTTATCTCTTCATTTTGGGACTGAAACACTCCACCTCACTTATCTACTCTGCATGTACAATATAAACTTTCCTACACTGGAATTTGTTTTGCAAATATCCCTTTCTTCATGCATATACATTTGTGAATTATTTGAAAAAAGCATCAATTTAAAAAATATTTCCATTATACTTTACATAGTGGACAGTACACAGTGGGTACTCAATAAATATTCATGATTGCTTTAAGTACCATCTGGAGAAAATGTGGTTGAGCAAACAGCAGTGAGCACTTGGAAAGACAAGTTTAGATGGGTGTAGGTGATTTTACATGTTCTGATCTCACAAAAATTAAAGAGTGCTTAGTGACTTTCTTAAATTCCCTAGGGTTGATTTTAAAATTCTGAAAAGGGCATTTGATATGAAAGAGTTTGAAGCAAATGATTATTATTTATCAAACGACCCCCATATATTCATTAGCGAGCCTAGTGTTCAACACTGTGACCTCCTATCAAACATCTTAGAACAAAAATGCATGAGTAATAGAGAAGTTTGAGCCAGTTTTCTACATTAAATTCTCTCACAGAAAAGGGCTACAACAATTGCAAGTGTTCATTTTTAACTGGTCACTATGGAACTATTTTCTTTTTTAACTTCACTCTGGCTTTATCAGTTCACTACCTCACCTTGGGGAATGAATACAAGGAGTGTAAAGATTTATTTGTGCAATTTTCAGGATATTTCCCTTGGTCATTACTTAATTTTCTAGAAAACACTTGGTGAAAACCAACCAATTTCTTTAAAAATAAAATGCCAAAAGGGCAGTGTGTACTTGAAGCCAGTAGCTCCATACTCTTGTAAGCCATTCAGGGATTCCTGTTCTATTTCTTGCCAGGGTTTCCCTTTTCTTTTGCACACCTGCCATTTTCCAAAGTGTTACAGAAGTAAACCATCATACTACTCACTTTCATGTCCTCTTGAACTCCTCTATAAATTTCTCTTTCATAACTGAACTGTTTCTTCTCTCATTGCACTCTGTTCTTACTTTAGAGCCCCATAATATCAGCCACCAATCCTCAAAGAAAATCTCAATTCATCATATGACACTATCCTGAGTTCAAGGCTTACCAGAAGCCCTTCAGTGTCTTTTCCCCATTTAAAAAAAAATATGAGAATGGTTGAAACAGAACAGATTTGGCTCTAATTCAATTAAGGCTTAGAGGAGAGATAGATATCTCACTTCTTTTCAGCAACCCCTTTCATAGTCGCCATAGTTAGGGTGGCACCCAAGATAACCAAAACTGCCACATTTCATATTTTGTGAAATTAAAACTATTGTCTATTCTCTCAATGCAGTTTTCATTTCCAAAGCATCTGCTGCTTTTGTGCATTTCTTGTTTGTCTCATAATTTCTGACACTTTCAGAATGTTTCACCTTAAAATAGCCTGCTTAAAAAATATGCATACTGTTGATGGATGAGCTACATAAATTTGTTACAAAGTTATGGGAACTAGTTTCACCAGTATTTTTCTAAAATTCCAAAATTTATTTCAGTGAAAATCTGAGATTTCTCTTTCCCACTGTGAAATAACTGGAAGAATACCTCATGTTCTAGACTAAATACTTATTATACCCTCATGAACTATATATTTTAAAAATCTCAGATAAAAATCGAAATTTGAATTACCATCTAGAAATAAATTTTTTATAGATAGTGTACACATTGGTTCCTGAAAATGGTAGAAAAGGTTTCTTGTCAAGTTCCCTAGCACAAGTGTGAATGCTCTGTTTTTGAGTACCTACTAGTAGTGAAAGGACACATTGTGGCCAGCCAACTCAAATTGCTACCCACGTTTAATCATTGTAAATAAAGGAAGCAGAGAGACCCATGTTATATTTTCAGAACTGGCATGCTCAATACAGAACTATTAGTTTAAAAATACCACTGAACATTCTATTTGAATTAATCTAGACTTCTGTGAAAAACAAAATAATAAAAAGTACAATTGGTCACTTAAACATATACTACCCATTTCATGCAGGTTATTGATTTAGCAATTACACATAGCATTAAAGAACAATGAGAGTAATACAACTTTATAACACTTGGGAAACAATTCAGAAGAGATACATTTACATTCTGAAATACCTATAGTTTTTACAGAAGCAAAAATCACCTTTCTCAGTGGAAAAATACATCTATGAAACACCTAGGTGTGCTGAATTGGACTTTCCTAAAGGAATAACTAATCGTCCCATATTGAAATGAATATGTCACTGCTAAGCTTTCACATACTGTTGGTGCATGATGCATTTTCTGAGCAGCGGGATATTGAAGAGCAACAGAGACACAAGTACTTTCAACAAAACCCATGGATCACAGGGAACCGAAAATGTAAAGAGCTTGAAAGAAATGATGAAAAAAACATATTCTCTAATGTCCTCATACATTTGGATTTCACAATTATAAGGGCTGGGCAAATTCTTAATTTTTATACATTGTATACATTTGTCCTTGTTTATATTTGTCCAAAAGCATGATTTAAGGACCATTTGCAAAATGCCAGAGTCAACCTTGATTAACAGTTGACCCCCACAGGCATTCTGGTGGACATTGTACCAAAATTATTGAATTAGAAAGAACATAAAGCAGTATTTCACAATAAATGCCAGAACAGGGGCATATTCCTTACAGCAAATTAGTAGTATTTTAGAATATTCACAGGGATTTTCTGGTATGGTACAGTCACAGTCACCATGTGAGGGTGAATTTTAGTCTATAAAACATACAAGATGAAGCACCAAGAATAGGGATACTTCTGCAGGAGCCTCAGACACATGGCCAGGAGATATTATATATGCACAGAATAGTCTGATTCACAACTACATTTCAGATGAGGATCACTGCAACTGCTGCTCTACCACTACTAAACTGTAATTGTTTAGCACTTCATCTCTAAATATTGTTGTTTTATGTCTTTTCTACTGCTGACACTTGCAGTCACTATTTAAACTCAAATTCCAACGATGCTGAAAGGAAGTGGGGAGACACTTATATCTTTGCATAAAGCATACAGCAGGTCAGGAGATCATTTGGGAAAAAAATCCAAATGTGAATTTGTTAGAAAATGATAAAATGTGCACCTTAAAATGTGTTTTCAAAGTGGTAAAACTTTTGAAATAGGCTGGAGAGCCAAAAATGTTGTTCAAAATCATCCTAAAAGAACTAACAGCCTGTCTATTTATTAAGAAATGCACATTGTTTACCTACCTACCAGTTTACCTACAGAAGATGTGATTGCCTAATAAAACTAAAAGCTGTCATTATGAGCTGCTAATTTAAGTCTACAGAAGTTGTCCATTATGTTGAAGTAGTTCTAAATGTTTCAATCACAATTTTTCTCGACTGGTCTTCCTCTATAATCTTCCAATTGGGGTGCCTCAACACTCTTTCTTGATCATTTCTGCTTTTTCACTTACTCTGTGAAAGTTCTCTTTCCCCCTTAAACTTAGTTCAGAATTTTCAAATTCAGTTCAAGTCTTTCAGTTTTCCTTATTTCAAAGGCCATGTAAATACTGAAATATTCATAAATACGGGGAAGATAGCTCACCTACTAAGTTTGCAGTCCAAGTGGCATCATAAAACCTACTCTACAAGAACAGGGGTTTTAAGTTTTTTTTTCTTTTCAGGAAGAAATTAACACTGTTCATTGGAACAAAGTACTATACTATAAAAGCATGTCCTTCTTTCGCCCCACTATTCTAGAAATGTAAATAAAAGAATTAAAGTACAAAAGCATTATCTGTACTGCTTTCTTCAAACACTTTTTCAGCACCTCCATTTCATTATGTGTACTGTATGCTTGGTATAGCAGAAATTTTGTCAGCTCACATAGCCGTTCAGAGGACTTCAGATTTTTCACTACCAAATATCACTGGTGAAGCTAAGCTCTTTGGACGATAAAGGCAGCAGGGAACTGTTTCTATGAAATTCCTGGGTATCTTTCAGGGCATTATTAAGGGGTAGCTGTCCATTGAGTAGCGTCAGAGGCAGGTTACAATAAGTGTGGTGGTTGCCTAGGGAAGGTACTGGCAAGGTAGTGGTTGGCATCTCGTGTTTATAACCTCTGCAACAGTGCCTCATTTGCATCGAATCTGAATGGTGGAAATCAGGGAGATCAGCTTGAGACGACACCATAGAGGCCGAGGTACTAGTCATGGCAATAGAGGGTAAAGGCTGGAGTTCTCCAAAAAGTCCTTGTTCTGCAGAGTCCAGAACATGACACCGAGAAAGCATTTCTTTTTTCTTGATGGGCATTTCATATACTAAGTGCTTCCAAAACTTAGAATTTAATTTGCTGCTTTTGGGTCCCTTCCACTTGATTAGGGACAGAAGTTTGATGTTGCGCTTTAGTGATTCCACTTCCTGGCAATTCACCTTCCCCTTTAATTCTGTACACTCAATCAAAATCACTTTGATTTCTCCACTGACTAGCATGTTATGGAGTCTGCTTTCCAATTCGAAAATACTCCATCCTCGTCTGAGAATATAGTTTGCAGTTAGCACGATAATAAGTCTTCTGCTTTGCTCAACACATCTTGTGAGATCTTCAATGTATGCTACAAATCACAGAAAGAGAGAAAGAGTAAAACAAAGACATTTCCAGCCTTTATAGTCTTAGGATTGCACTCTAGTACAGCAAAGATCCAGTTTTTCACTAAGGTACATCACCTTTTCTTGTATTGCACATTCAGGGAGCCTACAGCCTTAACAATAAAAATGAAAAAAACAACAACCCTATTTATAATTCTTATTCTCTTTCCCCTCTTCATTACTGACAGTGTTCTATCGGCTAATACAAACCCTGACTTTTTCAGAGCTTATGTGTATTTCATTATTTTTTATTTATGTATTCATTTAATTCAAGGCAGGCTTCCAGACTAGTACTTTAAGCGAACAAGCGATAAAAGGATTGATGAAGAGAAATGGAGCCTTTTAATGAATAAAGGGTCACTGTATTTATGGGATTGGTTTGCTCTCCACCCCCATCCCCAGTTTTCAACTACTAAACAAGAAGGGGTTTCTATGTACGCAAACTACTTCAAAGTGAATTTTGATAGAGATGGTGGAAAGTCTTGTAGAATCAAAGCTTGTCTCCTGTAATATTGTTATTCGTAATCTTAGGTTCTCCACTTTGTCCTTCAAACCTGGACATAGGGAAGTGGTGTGTGTGCCCATGAGCTTAATTTGAACCAGCTGCTCTTTGTTCAGAGAGCGTGAGGGGTGGAGTAGTAGGTGGGGGATGGTGTGGAATTAACAGTAAAGGGGGAGGAGTCTATCAACTAAGAAGCAAGTCTTTGCCCTAACACATGGAGCAATTTCTCCAGTGTGGTGGATATGTTATGGCCTTGTGGTGGTGGAAAAACACTCAACTCACTCTAGATTTGTTTATCGCGTGGGATAACCCCTTCGTAATCATGCTCCCAAAGTCTTATCCACCAAAAAGGGAAATAAACACATGTGTTAACAAATGGAGACTTGGACACAGGTGCTGCAACAGAGAGCTCTCTTTACTAAGCAGAGCAGGCCTTGTCTAATGTACAGCGCCCCCTAGCAGAAGCAGTGCTTACAGAAGCATAGCAACATCGGTCACTGCAAATCGGCCCAAGGTTACAGACTGCTTTCAAGGAGTCACGACCAGTCCATAGTGTGAGGCCAGCGAAGAGCCTGATACAAGTCATTTGAAAAGAGGAACTGATTTTACAGATGCATATTTTACAGATGAACTCTCTTTTCCAGGGTTTTATTTCCACTAGTGGGCAGCAAGAAAATTTTCACAAGTGAAATTAAGCAGATTTTCTACACACGCTACAGATAAACAAAAAATTTTAAAGAGATACACAATAGAATTGCCCATTTAACAAGTTGTCGTTACCGCTGTTTTGGTTTTTACTTAATACATTTCAGGACTTTCTCATGCAGTAGTTACAATGACCGTGTCTGAGAGGGTAAGGTAACTTCTAAGTGGGGAGGGAAACTCTTAAGGGTTTTAAGCATTTTATTTTAGAGATTATGTATTCAGGGGGAAAACTCAACATTAAAATCTGTAAAAATACAAAAAAAAAAAAACCCACAAAACGAAACAAAAACACCACACAAACAGCAATGAGGAAGTCATCACTCTGTAATTATCATTTAGAGAACTGGTGAAACAGAATGGAAGGAAAGGTAGAAAGTTTCAATAGAGTGGAAAAATATTATCCCAATGTATCAACAGTTCTGACTCTTCATTTTCTTCCTTTCTTTCTGCTCCCAAAAATAAAGAAGTTATGTGGGAAGCTTCATCATTAGAAGTTGGATCTGTAAGATACAGTAAAATAAACTATCATGCATCTTTCCCATTATTCTTTTCACCTATCCTCCAAAAATAAACAAAACCAAACCAAACCCAAACCCAGAGTTATGGTTTAAGTGAAGGAGTTCATGGAAATACATTTTTAACCAGGTAATTGTAAATTGATTATTCATTTCACAGAAGTCTTTACAAAATTATTTACCAAGGGGTTATTCTGAGTAGCACTCTTCCTTCATTAATTGCAGCTTTCCATTTAATTTTAAAATATTGATCTGTACAAACCTTGTAAGGAGCACATCTGCCACATAAACTATACCTCTATCAACAGCACCATTTTTATCTGTTGGGCTGTAATTTATTTTTAACTATACTTTCAAAAACAAAAGCTGTAAATCTCCCTACTCGAGAGAAAAAAAAAATGACTACACAGATATCCACAGTTGTAACAGAAACTATAAACGTGCATAGTAATTAATTTGATTGGAATCTCATGGGTTTTGGCTGTGCTATTTCTTTCTGAAATAGGGAAGGAAGCAGTCTTTTTCCCCATTAATATGGTTGTCCCCTTTCATTCACCTATTATATTTTGCCATTTGACAGCTAAGCAGAATGCAAAATTTAGAGTTCCTGGAGCTTCTTAGAGATTCATTAGACAGAATTTGCATTTGCCCTCAGAAGGAATGTCTGTTAGGACAGATCCCACTATGCTCAGCTGCACAGGGTGTGGGTGTTGAAGGGAACCTTGGAGAGAGGGCGTGGTCCCTGTCTCCTGCATACTACACTGGCTGTGCTTATCCTGGCAAAGCCTAGTGGAGAGTTGAGGCAACCATCCAGATAATTCCGGCTGAAAACCTGCTGTGGAAGAAAAAAGGTCTGAATTATCCTGGTTTGCCCTATATATACATTAATCATATGCACTGGAGTCAGTCAGTCAGTACATCAAAATTTTCCCTGGGTAGACACAGCCCAAGTGTCCCAAAGAAAACATGAGGCCTTTGCTTGGGCCCTGAATTTCGTGTTCCATTTCACTTGGTGAAAAACCAAGTGGAAGTTTTCAGATGTGCAGCCCACATTTCACTTCTTGGGATGGTGATCAGTGGCTGGGCAGCAACCTCAATGTTTGAAAGCAGCTGGGGAGGTGCCTCTAAGAGCTGCCTGGCTCTAAGGGAAAGAAGGAGGGACTGTGCCCTCGCTTCCAGATTCTGGCGCGCGCGCTGTTTTTCTCTCTATGTTTTTCTCCTCTTCCTCCTGCTTTGCTCCTCTCTACCGCTCTTTCTCCCTTTCTGCTCCCTTTCTTCTCTCTTCTATTTTCTCTGTCTGTTCTCTTTCTCTTTCCTTTTCCCGTCTTTGTCTTTGTTGCTCTCTTTCTTACTTTCTTTTGCCCTTTCCCTCCCTTTCTGTGTTTCTCTGCTGCTGAGCTCCCTTTGCCCTCTTCCTCCCTCCCTTCTTAAGTTTTTCCTTTCTTTCTCCTTATATTTGGGAAAAAACAAGAATCTAGTCATCGTGGAAAATATAAGTAAATTAGCAAGAGACCAGAGTTTCTGACGTGCTAATCTGCAGCCAGGGAGTTGTTTCTAATGCAGCAAGTGCCCAAAATAATTTCCCCCTTACCCCAGGGTTACATGTCTGCATCCAATGACTGTGAATTGAAATCTGATTGATTAGGACCATGTCCTGTTTTTGCATGACCTGCGAGCGAAGAATGATTTTTAGAAACAATTTTTAAGGGGTTGTGAGGGAAAAAAAAGAATATGCTCCAACAGAGACCATATATGACCCACAGCATTTAAAATGCTTATTATCTTGACTTTAAAGGGAAAGTTTGCCATCCCTGAATTAGAGACCTATCAGGGTGTTTAGGTTTGGAAAAGTTCCATATAAACTAAACAGAAACAGGTATCAAGTTAAGACACTGCTGGTCCACAGCTAGTGTAGTCCCTGACAGGCAGTGGTGTGTGTATGGTAGGGCTGTGGTTTTGTGGGAGACATTTTAGAAACCTTCAGAAACCATATTTAAATAGCTTGCTACCACAAAGAGATAATAAAGAAACTCACCCTCCCTCCCCCCCAAAAAAAATCCCTAAATTCTCAACACATAGGAATACTTGCTGAATCTTGCCTTGACTTGTTTGAGGTAAATTTAGCAACTGAGTAGCAGGAATCCTGTAAAAGACTCCTTTTTTCATATAAAAATATAAAAATCCCTTAAATACAATTTTGGTCTGAAGTAACTTAGGATGACAAAAATGACTAACAGGGTTGAGTCAAATAAACTCTTGTTTCTCTAGACAAGACTGTAAGACCACACCAGGTTATCAGACATGAAACAAAGCTAATTACATGGACTCTATTTGTGACAGTCATGATTTGGTAAAGAAAAATTCCTTTTTATCATAGGTTCAATAAGAGTACTTAATTTGGCATAAATTCATTTTTTTCACATTCTAAGTGCAGATTCATTTCATTTTTTCTGTGTTGGGAGTTGACAGGGAAATTTCTAGGAGAAAATGCATTGTCATTAGGCTTTCCTTGAGATACAAACCTATTAGAGAAGGGAATCAAGGTCATGCTAGTAGCATCAATATTTATAGGAAACAAGGAAAATGACTACCTAGAACTGTATGAAAAGCAAAGTAAACTCTATTTTAAGTCCCTTTGAGGGGCAGTTATATAAAACAAAACTCCAGCACACTTAGAGAAGGAGTATTGCATCTAAAAAAAGTGACTTGAAAATAGGACAGTTATTAACAAAGCAAAAAAAAAAACAAAAACAAACTGGAGGAAAAGCAAGATGACAAAATATATGTGTATACTCTTCCAAAAGAACTTAGTACTGTCATAAAACTCAGGTTCCGAATTTGTAGGCAGAATGACAGAGGAGAAAAAACCCTATATTCATGAATTTCCATGTGGTCTTGCTACTGCTTACTCACTCTCTGATTTATCAAACTGATTAGCTATTTGTGTGTTATTTTTTGCTGATGCTTCCTAACTTCTGATGTTAGTCACTATTAGGAAAAGTTAGTATGTTTTTAAAAGTTCAAAGACAAATACTTAGCCTGTAGACAAAGGCATAATTTATTACTTTGCCAAGTTCAAATAATGGTAGTTCAATTTGCTTATACACACGGGGATGTACATCATATCAGCTAAACAGACAAATCAGTAGGGTGAGACAGGATGCCTCAAAGCAGATAACATGCCATTCATTTTTTTGGTGAAAATGGCTAACTGATAGCAATCAACAATGATACAGAACATAAG